TTACAGGGACGGGGGGAGAAGAAGAGGAGAACACGGGGAGGGGGGAATAAGAGGAGAACACGGGGGTGGGAGATGAGAACGTAGGGGAGGGAGAGACCACTAAAGGAGGGAGGGGGCGGTGGAGAGACCACTAGGGAAGGGGTGTGAGGAGAGACCACTAAAGGAGGGGGGTGGAGGATAGACCACTAGGGGAGGGTGGGGGGAGAGGAGAGAAAGTCGGGTAGAAAAGGAGACCACTAAGGGAGGTGGGGGGGGGGAGAGGAGAGACCACTAAGGGGCAGGGGAGATCTCTAAGGAATGGAAGGGAGAGCTCTATAGGACAGGGGGCAGGACAGAGAGCTCTTTCACACCACGTGCACACACACACACACACACACAATGCATCCCTATACACACAGAAACACAACATGCTTCCCTTACACAAAGAGAAACACATAATGCAACCCTTACACATAAAGACAATGCATCCTTTGAACATATACACAGTAACACACTATGCATCCCTTACACACACATGCAAACACACACTGCTTCTCTTACACACACACAGAAACACAATGCATCTTACACACACTCAACGCACCCCTTACAGACACACACACTGCATCCCTTACATAAACAGAAACACACTTTGCATCTCTTATGCATACAAACACAGATTCACACAATGCATCCCTTACACACAACAAGAAACACACAATACATCCCTTATACACAAACACTCACTGCTTTCTATCCCTTACACAAAAACACACTGCTTCCACTACACACAAACACACTGCATCACCTACACAAACTGGTATTATTATTATTATTATTTATATAGCGCCAACAAATTCCGTAGCGCTGTACAATGGGTGGACTAACAGACACATAATTGAGATCAGACCACTGACGTACAGGAACAGAGGGGGTTGAGGACCCTGCTCGATGAGCTTACATGCTAGAGGGATCCTTATACACTACATTCCATAAGCACACACATTAGATCCTCTACAGTAACACATAACACATCCCCTACACACTCTACTCCCTGTGAGCGGACTCATGGGTGGAACATGTAGTTGGAATTATGGGTGGGCCTTATGGGCATACTCACCATCAGGCCCTGGGGCCCAGACCTTGAGCTATGTAAGAGGCCCCAAAAAATTGAGCTGCTTCCCGTTCTACCAGAACATTAAATTTTGTGACCACAGTTACAAACAGCCTCCAGAGATCCTGTTCTACACCAGACCAGTGGAGCCAGACTGCAGCCAGAGCCCATCACCATCCTCATCTGATTGTAAGTAGGCAATCTAGTATATTATTAGTGACACTCCATAGCTTGGAGGAAAGACGAGACAGGGGGGATATGATAGAAACATTTAAATATATAAAGGGAATCAACACAGTAAAGGAGGAGACTATATTTAAAAGAAGAAAAACTACCACAACAAGAGGACATAGTCTTAAATTAGAGGGACAAAGGTTTAAAAAATAATATCAGGAAGTATTACTTTACTGAGAGGGTAGTGGATGCATGGAATAGCCTTCCAGCTGAAGTGGTAGAGGTTAACACAGTAAAGGAGTTTAAGCATGCATGGGATAGGCATAAGGCTATCCCAACTATAAGATAAGGCTAGGGACTAATGAAAGTTTTTAGAAAATTGGGCAGACTAGATGGACCGAATGGTTCTTATCTGCCGTCACATTCTATGTTTCTATGTTTCTAATTTACCTCACATTAAATGGACACTATAGTCCCCAGAACCACTGCAGCTTAATAAAGTTGTTCTGGTGTCTATAGTTTGTCCCTGCAGGCTTTTTAATGTAAACACACACTGTGTGCAGCACTGGCACTAGTTCATATGGCAGATCATATGGGTGGGGCATTGCGATGTCCCGGGAGGGGGGGGGTTGGAGAGGGGGCGGCAAATCTTTATTTTGCCTAGAGCGGCAAAAATCCTTGCACCGGCCCTGGAAGGACCCGCAATCAATTCCAAACAGTAGATGTGTAGGTGGGTCTCTTTGCCCTGCCAAGGTCCCCCTGTGGAGGAGCCCACGCAGAGTGCACCCCAACCCCAGAGGCTGGCATCCGACACCACGATGAAGTCTGGGGATGAGCCAAATATCGCTTTGCCATTCCAGGCTTGCATGTGAAGGAGCCACCAGCTGAGTTCTGTCCGAACATCCTCTGAGAGTGGGATCCAGTGGTCGTACGAGTGCATGGCTCTGTAGTGTAGTGGTCCTGGAAATATTGCTTGGATGGAGGATGATAGGAGTCCAACAATCTGAGCGAGCATCCTGAGGGGAATTGTATCCATCCAGAGGACACGTCTGATTTCTTTCCGTATGGAGGCTATCTTTGCCGTTGGAAAGCGTAGTACGCAGTTCTTCGAATCGATTTCGAAGCCGAGGAACTAGACTGACTGGGAAGGATAGAGAGACGACTTCTGTCTGCTCACCACGAAACCCAAAGATTCCAGAAAGTGAACGACAAATTTTGTCTGCAATCGTAGTCTGGATGCGGATTCGCAGAAAATCAGCAAATCCTCCAATAAACGAGACATCGCACGCCCATGGTTCAGATGTGAGCCATCACTGGCTTCAGCAGCTTCGTGAAGCACCACGAAGCCGAGCTGAGGCCAAAAGGCAGATGTGAACTGGCATGTACGTCCTCTCCAAATGAACCGGAGGAAGCAACGACAATCTAGGGCGACGGGGACTGATAGGTATGTGTCTTTGAGGTCCAGATGCGTAAACCAGTCATTTGCGATAAGAAGGTCTTGTAGAAGATGAATTCCTTCCATCTTTAAATGTCTGTATACCACGTAGTAATTTAGGTGTCATAGGAGGTTGATAACCAGTCGGCAGTCATCCGTTTTCTTCTTGACCAGGAAGATATTGCTGAAGAAACTGCCGCCCTCTGACGCGTATTGTACTGTGCTCTTTTTGAAGAGGGTGCTGATTTCATCATCTACCAGTAAGTCTTGTTCCGCTGACATGTGTACTGAGGGTGGAGGAGAGGTCTGGACGGGTTGCGAGTAAAATTCTATAAAATTCTAACCCTGTACCGTCTGGAGTATCCAGGCATCTTTGGTGATCACCTCCCAATTCTGTAGGAAAAGAGACAGGTTGCCAGCGATAAAGTTGTGAACAGGTAGACTGGTAGGGGCACTTACCCGTAGTGAAGCGACCACGTCCACGTTCTCTGGAACCTGTGGTCCTATCCGTGCCTCTGCAGAATGAGGATCTTTGAGCCGTGGCCGGAAAGAAGTTGGATGATTGTTGGTATGTTATGGAGCCCGTCAACCAGTAACGGCTGGTGGCTCAGCCCCTCTGCCAACCAGCCCTCCCAAAAACACCTCGTCCAGGGTACCTTGTGTCTTTCGTCCTCACAGAGTACGGTCTCTTTAACATATTTCGAGGAAGACTGTGGTAAGTTCTGCTAGTTTTCGTCTTCTGAGAGTGAGCCATCTTCGCGCCACTCATCCACGATGTTGAGGTTACTTGGTGGACCATAGTCCTCCTCATTTGAGGAAGGAGGCGGTGGGGGGACGGGTTCCTGTGGTTCCGTCCGTTTGACAGGTGCTTTACCCTGGGTCCTAAAGGCCGGAGGGCTTGTTCCCTTCCAATGTCGCTTGGATTTTGACAATTACGATCTTGAGGCCTCCGTCAGATCTTGTGGGCCTGCGTCTCCATGGGACTGGGGTAGTGCTCGTAGCAGAGCCTTCTCCACCAAGGCCGCCACCGTGGCATTAATCGTAGCTTGGAAGTCTTGGGTCAGTTGCGGTGTGTCTTCCATGTCTGGTTCTGTCCTGTGTGTGAGATAGTGACAGTCAGGGGGTGCAATGGTAGCAGGGCAATCACATAGAGGTATCAACTTCCTGGTACAACTGGGGCTCGCCCAGGGTATAGTGATGCAAAATTGCCTGTGAGTGTATAGTATTGTGTGCCAATGCGGGAGGGCTCTCTCTCCTGATAAACAGGGGAATGCCCTTGAGAGGTAGCTGAGACCTGAACGTCTCTTAGGAGCGGGGTGACCAAGATCTCCCTTGTTTGATGGGTTCACCACAGTTGTACACGGAGCTGGACAACGTTCATAACTGAGTAATATGCAGTGCGTGTAGTAAGAGGCACTTCAGAATCACATAGGAACAATCAGTCCAGTAAAATTTCTGCCGCAACAGAACCCGCATATAATTAGCTGGGGTTCACCCCAGGTGGTGTGCCGTGATAACCAGAGGACACCCACGTCCTATATATTGGCACAATATTGGACAGACATGGATAACTGGGGGGTCACCCCAGGTGGTGTGCCGTGAAAAAAGAGGACACCCAAAGTAATGTTTGTACCCTTGGTACATTATATATGTAAATAACCCTGTTAAGGGTGACAGTGCATGCACACGGGCAGTATAAAATACACTCAGTTTACAGGGTGAAGCCACCTATTTCCTTAGCACAGTTAGTGAATCCTGTATCAATTGTGAGCCGACAGAATAATGTAGTAATCCAGTGTTAATTAGGTACCTTCAGTTGATATCCAAATTGAACTGAATAAACCAAGTCCAGCAGATCCCCTGAAATCCGGATTGTGTGATTCCCAATCTGGAATAAAGCAAGGAAATTACCGCCATGAATCTTGCGGTACTCGCGAGATCCAAGATAGCCGTCGCTAGCGTGCAACTGTCAGCAAGCCCACGAAATGTGGCACACTAATCACTTAAGTGAGTTGTAGTTGTAGTTATGTTGTTTAAGTATAGCTCCTTGAAGTTAAAGGTTACTCTAATCACCATAACAGCTTCAGATGAATGCAAAGGGTAAAGAGTATCCTACACCATCTCCTTTGCTAACCTGTTTTATAATTGCAGAGGCAAATTCCTTATACCTCTTCAGTATCAGATGCACTCAAGTTTTGCATGTGTGACACAGATACAATGGATTTCTCTCTTCAATATAAATTAAATGTTTTGTTGTATCTTCCCCAAATACAAATACCGAAAATAAAATCTCTCAACTAGAAAAAAAAAATTAGAAAAATGGAATGCCTAACATTTTTCACGCCTGTCACAGCACTTATTTAGAGACTTCTCTACTCTGCTAGGAGAGAACCTAAGCTATTGGCATGCTCATTCGTGGTTGAGGAACTCAGGGGTCACTGCAAAAGTCACCGATCACAAAACTGTAAACAGAGTTGAGTATAAACTAATAAAATCAATGTTATATCTTCTAACGGTTTACAAAGCAACTCCAGTGTGATGAGTGGAACTGTCGATGGTTAATAAAGAACTTGTCCTTTAACACCTTTAGGACACAGCTTCAGAAGTAAGAAGTAAAATTTACGTCATGTGTCCTTAAAGGGACACTATAGGCACCCAGACCACTTCAACTCATTGAAGTGGTCTGGGTACAGTGTCCCATCACCCTTAACCCTGAGCATGTGATTATTGCAGTTTTTAAAAAACTGCAATAATTACCTGCTAGGGTTAACTCCTTCTCTACTGACTGTCACAGCCAGTAGAGTGCCTTTTGGTCGCCTAAATGAAACTGGACTTTCTTGCGCTATGCATTTCCTATGGGGAAATCCTAATGCAAGGGAGGCCATTGCCGCGCATATGCATTAGGTCTCCCCCGCGGGCTGACGTCGGGAGGAGAGGAGGGAAGGTAGACCCGTGCCAGTGCCGAGGGAAGGTAGACCCTTACCCGTGCCAGTGCCGAGGGAAGGTAGACCCTTACCAGCGCTGGACCCAGGTAAGCGACAGAAGGAGTTTTTAACAGGGGGGATCTTGACGGAGGGGGAAGCTGTAGTGCCAGGAAAAACAAGTTTGTTTTCCTGCCACTCTAGTTTCCCCGTAAGGAGCTAAATCTCTGCAGGACAGATGTTTATGTAATAAGATCAGACCCTGCAATCCAGAATGATATGCTTCTTACAGGTTGGACAATGTCCTGGGTTTGAGAGGGGTCTACCTGTTGACACTTTTCTTTGCAAATACTTTAGGAATATTAAAGGTGAGTATTTATTTTGTATTTCATTTGCAAAAGTAAATAATTATCTTTGCAAAAAATAGGGGGAGTGTAGAAAATTCTTTATACTCATTGTGTCCATTTAACAATGCAAATGTAGGTTCACACGTTATTGTTCACACAAAACTTATGTGTTCTTCTATCAACAATAGACATTATTTAGATAAAAATTCAAGCAATGCTTCCAACATTTTAAATGATCACTATAGTGTCAGGAAAACAAAGCAGTTTTCCTGACACTATAGTACCCTGAGGGTGCCCCCACCCTCAGGGTCCCCCTCCCGTGGCGCTGCAGGGGTTAAACCCCATTCAGTTACTTTAATCCAGCGCCAGGTACCCTCGGCGCTGGTGACCTCTCCTCCCACTTCGATGTCAGCTCCCCCACCCGACGTCACTGGAGCCGAATGCGCATGCACGGCAAGTGTCACGAGCGCATTCAAAGTGTCCATAGGAAATCATTTCTCAATGCTTTCCTATAGACGCTCTGCGTGATGGAGGCGAAATTCGCCTCCAGCATCGCAGATGCGCCTCTAGTGGCTGTCCGGAAGAAACTGAAACTGCTATGTTTACACGTGAAAGGTTAAAACCTGAGGGATCTGGTAGTGGTCTGGGTGACTATAGTGTCCCTTTAAACAAGGAGAACTTCATGGGGTGGTGAAGTATGATTAAAAGAAGCAATGATATGTTCAAGTTCGCCTTTAACTTATGAGTTTAGGTAAAATAAAAGATATGCACGTATATTGAAATATGCTGTTGACATACTTAGATTATATCCTTATGCACAGGATAATGTTTTGAAAAAGTACAAAAAGAACTAAAACAAATCTAAGAAAAATGAGAGGTATCCAGTTTCTACTTCTTAATTAATAATTAAGCTGCACACATTTCAACATGTACTTATTAATTTTATAAAATATAGGGGAAAAGCAATACAAGGACCTAAAAAGTTAAAACACAACTTTATCAAGTTATATTAAATGTCAAAAAAATTATAAATTGCTATAAATGAAGATAAAAACATACCTGAAATCTAGCACACTGTGCTCCTTTTGAGGTCTGGCCACATCATTCCCCTTATCTATGATTTGCATAGATAAGTATTGATTTGACTGTTCAGCTGGTTAGGGGAGGGAGGGGGTTTATTTGTTAAAAAAAAAAAATATATGAACAGATAGAGGAAAGAGGGAGGAGAGAGCTAGGCATCCCCTCGCAGGCGCACTGCCTGCAGGGGAAGTTCATTACATCTGTCTCCAGGATGCTGATGTTAATTTTGCACAGAACTCACAGTAGGCAGCCTGAAACAAAGTTCCAGGCTGCCTAAGCATGCGTGCTGGGGCTGTAACTAACCTACAGCACAGAAATTAATATATCTCTGCAAGTGCAGTACTTCAAGCAGAAAAGCTGCACAAACAGACTCCTACCACCATAACTACTGCTAAATCCAGAAGTGGGCATCTGAGTAACCCTTAATTATTTTTTTTCCCGTAGACTCCCAATAAAAAAGAATGACTTCATAGATGATCAATAGTATACTCACATTTGGATAATCAGCTCAAAATATAAGGACCTTGATGTTCAAACCAGAGTGACACTGTGGCGAAACCACCCTCGCCACTGTGAACTGGAGAAGCCTGGTTGCTCGCCTGCTCCCTTTGGACTATGGCCCTGCAGGTTAAACCGTTTATTTCCCCTGCAGAAAGGCTTATTTGTGTGATCTGAGTGCCATTCATCTAATAATGTGCACTCAGATCCCAGCTATCTGGGGATATGTGAAATGTCTGTGTGTTATGTGTAAATGTGACTTTATGTATTTTAAAGTGTTTTGTGTCTTTTTGCAACCATGTGCTTAATGGAGTCTTGTGTCTATCCTGGGAGAATTTATTTGTTTCTCCGGTTCGGTGGTTTTGGTGTCTGCTGCAGTGCTTGGAGTCCTCAGGAAGTGCTAGGAGCATCCGTTAACGGAGGTACCCAGTCGGGGTGCCAGGTGATCCGTTACATTGGTGGCAAGCGGTGGGATGGCGTCCTTGTGCGAGGTAAAGCAGCTCAGAGACACAGTTCGTTTGGAGTTACAATTTGAGGGCAACGCTAGTATTCGTACAGCGCCTCTGGTCACAGCAAACATGACCTATCGCTTTGAGGGCGATGCATACCGGGATGAGGTCATGAGACGGTTAACCAGATATGGCCCGAATCCTTCAACAGAGGCAGTTATGGCAACCGTGCGCAAGTTGGATGTGGAGAATCGAGCGGCATGGGAATGTGAGTGCCGATTGCGGAGATTGGGGCTGTGGCCAATTGGTCTCTCTGCCCAGCGGCAGTGTGAGTTACAGGGAGCTGAAGGTGCCGTCCTTGCTCCCCAGCAGCAGTGTGTGTTACAGGGAGCTGAAGGTGCAGTCCTTCCTCCCCAGCGGCAGTGTGTACCCCAGGGAGCTGAAGGTGCAGTCCTTGCTCCCCAGGGGCAGTGTGTGTTACAGGGAGCTGAAGGTGCAGTCCTTCCTCCCCAGCGGCAGAGTGTCCTGCAGGGAGCAGAGACCGTCAGTCTCGCACCCCAACCACAGGACAAAATAATGAAAGGGGAGACAGCTGGTCCCCCTCTCCACCAGCAGAGAGAGTGTCAGGGAGAGGAGCCTGATACCCCCTCTCCCCAGCGGCAGTTTACAGTTCAGAGAGAGGAGCTTGTTACACCCTCTCTCCAGCGGCAGCCTAACCCAGCAAGGGGAGATGTTACACCCCCCAACAGTGCAGATGTCTCTGCACTTACAGCACAAGGAGTAGGGACAGTCGGTCCTGTTCCCCAGCCACAGAGCGGTGTATCCAGAGGGGAGACAGTCGGTCTCTCCCTCCCACAACCAGGCTCCCACCAGGCTACTTCCGTGGTAGCACTGGCATCAGGGCAGAGTACAGCTGGTCTCTGCCCACTCAGCAACCCACCAAGGCAGCCTAACAGTTGCCCACACAGTCGTGGTGAGGCACCTGGACATGGACAAAGTTCTCCTCTACCCAGGTGTAGTAACCAGTTATTGTGGGTGGGCTGTACTGCTGTTTCTGTTTTGTGGGTGGGTTGCTGGACTAACCAGGGCACTGACCGGCAGGAGGTCAGATACCCTGTTAGTCTAGTTGGTAAAGGGGAGAAGTGTGGCGAAACCAACCTCGCCACTGTGAACTGGAGAAGCCTGGTTGCTCGCCTGCTCCCTTTGGACTATGGCCCTGCAGGTTAAACCGTTTATTTCCCCTGCAGAAAGGCTTATTTGTGTGATCTGAGTGCCATTCATCTAATAATGTGCACTCAGATCCCAACTATCTGGGGATATGTGAAATGTCTGTGTGTTATGTGTAAATGTGACTTTATGTATTTTAAAGTGTTTTGTGTCTTTTTGCAACCATGTGCTTAATGGAGTCTTGTGTCTATCCTGGGAGAATTTATTTGTTTCTCCGGTTCGGTGGTTTTGGTGTCTGCTGCAGTGCTTGGAGTCCTCAGGAAGTGCTAGGAGCATCCGTTAACGGAGGTACCCAGTCGGGGTGCCAGGTGATCCGTTACAGACACCTTCCCGTGTGTAGTCAAGTAGTCTTCAGAAACGGATGTAAATATTAAAAAAAAAATATTTAGTTAAAATACACTATATTTAAAAACAAAGTATATTTATAGTTATATCTCACATTCTGTTTTCTTGGAAATGCTGACTATATGTTATTGTATTTAGCCTTCTTGACATTTATTCTGGACAATTTAATCGTTATGGTGACTTTGTTCTATGTGTAAATCTGCAATGCGTTTTACATAAATGTGTTTCATATACTGCAATATTGTTATGATGAGCAGATCCTTATCCGTAAATATAGAAGAAAAAAAAATTCAGAAATGTACTCTTGATTGTTTTCAAAATAGGATAATCACTTCAGACAAATTTAACCCCTTAAAGGACCACTCTAGGCACCCAGACCACTTCAGCTTAATGAAGTGGTCTGGGTGCCAGGTCCTTCTAGGGTTAACCCATTTTTTCATAATTATAGCAGTTTCAGAGAAACTGCTATAATTATGAATGGGTTAAGCCTTCCCCCAAAGCCTCTAGTGGCTGTCTCATTGACAGCCACTAGAGGCGCTTGCGTGCTTCTCACTGTGATTTTCACAGTGAGAGCACGCCAGTGTCCATAGGAAAGCATTGTAAATGCTTTCCTATGCGACCGGCTGAATGCGCGCGCAGCTCTTGCCGCGCGTGCGCATTCAGCCGACGGGGCGGAACGGAGGAGGAGAGAAGGAGGAGAGCTCCCCGCCCAGCGCTGGAAAAGGTAAGTTTAAACCCCTTTCCCCTTTCCAGAGCCGGGCGGGGGTCCCTGAGGGTGGGGGCACCCTCAGGGCACTATAGTGCCAGGAAAACGAGTATGTTTTCCTGGCACTATAGTGGTCCTTTAAGGACACATGACATGTGTGACATGTCATGATTCCCTTTTATTCCAGAAGTTTGGTCCTTAAGGGGTTAAATCTATGTTTTCTTGTATGATGGACATTTTACCAGAAAGCCTTGTATTAACTCATCCTGTATGCAGACTGCCTCTGGATTTGAGACCTCATGCCTGTGTGTCTAATTTGAGTAGACACTCAAAGCATTACATTCACTAATTAAGCACCAGCCCACACTTTGGGACATAACAGTGTGTCAGTGAATGTTTGTGTGTCTGTCATTGTAAGTCTGTCAGTGAATGTGTGTGTCTGTCAGTGTATGTCTGTGAGTGAGTGAGTATCTGTTAGTGAGTGTATGTGTCTGTCAGTGAAGGTGTGTATCTGCCAGTGTGTGTCTGTCAGTGAATGTATGTCACTGTATGTGTATTTGAGAGTGTGTGCCTGTCAGTGAATGGGTGTGTCAGTGTGTGTCTGTCAGTCAAACTATGTGTTCGTCTTAAACTGGTAGGGGAGGGGCAAATTTAGATTGGGGGGTTGAGGGGGTTCCCGGGTTTCATCATGCCTAGAGCAGCACAAACCCAAAATACACCACTGGCTGTATACAAGTGGGTTCTAGTGATCATATCTCTTAGGCAATGCTATGTGGAAGTGTTTTAGTTTAACCAGCTGATGTACACAGTCAAACAGTAAATCTTTGTCAGCATTTGATACACGTGCTACAATGTAATCCTTGATAAAATCATGCATATCTGATGGAGAGATATCCTCTGGTAGTCTCAAACATAAATTGTATTTACGAAAGAAAAAATAGTACGTAGGCGCTTCACTGAAATTATGACAGTTTCGTATATAGTGAAAATATACAACTAATGGTGTAACTGGTACCCTAGTGCTTCCCTTATGCACCAGATATTAGTGGTACAATTAAAGAGACATATACCAGTATATACAGCTCCCCAATGTGATCACACCAAAAATAAATAATATTACCAATATGGAACTTGATTCTAATACAAACAGCGTAGAGCTTGATTGGGATATAGACTAAAACAAGAAAAAAATAAAAAACAGCATAGTGCAAACTGTATAATAACTGATAAATAATAAATGAATATATGACTCCCACTCACATTGTCCAGAGCTGTACCAGGCTCTTTAAATCAGGCTCAGGGGTGCCAAATACTGGCTAGCGATCCAGGTAATTCAGGCAGATGAAACTCCAAGTATAGGTGCAAAATATATTTATTAAAAAATTATATAAAAAATTATATAAAAAATATATGCACTACAGAGCACTATGGGGGTGGAACCCAATACAGAAATAAATAAAATATGACAAAATTGGAGTTCCACTTACCCCTATTTGAATAGTAGCCCAGAGTTTAGAAATACACATGAAATCACAAATAACAGGTATATAAAATAAAAGCAGACGCGTTTCGGCTAGCAGCCTTCTTCCAGTGCTTATCTCCATGTCCTGTTGAATCTTCTTATATAGGTCCTATCGTTACCATTCATCTGGAATCAATTTCATACCTGCGTTGCGTCACTTCCAGTTTTGCCCGTGACGTCACTTCCGGTTTTCGGCCAGTTGGAACGCACGCTGAAACGCGGCGTTCAGGATGTGGGTTGTTCCTTAATGGTGTAATTGAGTCCCCATAGCAACCATACACTCCATATTCGCAGGAAGTGATAAAATAATCATAAAATGCAAAAATTAAAAATATAATCAATACAAAATAGTAAATAGACATATACATACACAGTACAAATTAAAATCAGACTATCATCAGTCTCTCTGTGAGTAGAGGGAAACTTAAAAATGTATAAAAAATGTATATATTTACAAAAAGCCATTAGTGCACATATGTTCAAACACAGTAATGTGTAACCTCAAAAAATCCCCATATATGGGGAGCAATTTAGACAGAAAGCAAGTGGAGCCTCCAGTGACTTAATAAACAAATAAATTCAATTAATACTATAAAAATATATGTCTAAAAAAGATTTAAAAAAATCTTAGAAAAAAATCTTGGAAAAAAATCTAATAATTAAAATAAATTCTATAAAAAATGAATAAACTCAAAATCGAAATTCAATCCATTCGGGGACAAGGTATTGACATCGAAGATCCACCTGCCCTTTATCTTAGCCAGCTCCTTACCATTATTATCACCCCTCCAATTTTATTTTTATTTTTTTTAAATAACAGCATATGACAACAAGGAAGGATCACCGCCATGTTTTTCAGGGACGTGTGCAGAAAAACATGGCGGTGATCCTTCCTTGTTGTTGATCCTGCAATTTGTCTGAACTCAAACCGATCTGCTGAATTTCTGAACCACCACATACCAGGTTGGGCAAATAAGTGGCTTAGTTTGCATGAAGGAGGCCTGCTCAATCATGTTAACCAACGAAATTCTGTGCCAAAGATATTAATAACTATATGTACATGAAATTATGGTAAAAATGCAGAAAATTACAATGGTAAACTACAGGCAAAAAAGAGTGTTTAACATTATTTTAGTAATAAATAATAATATGGTGACAAAGGGTAAAATAGATGAGGTGGAGTATCTTCCAAGATTCAGTAAATTCAGCAAATACTTGAAAATGCTGAGAGAGTTGAAAAAATTTACTTCTGTGTTAAGGGATTACATGGAAAAAAAATATTTTTCTATGCTTCATGTGTTACGTTGTGATGTTCTGTAATTGATTGAATTTTATAATTTGCCGTTAAAAATAAATTGCCATGCTGATATTTTTGCATCCTGTTTGTCCTTCCATAAATTAAACAGAATATTTTTCAAGGAAAATTGGGAAAGTTGAGGATGGAAATAGCGTTCATATGCACCAGTTACAATATAATGGTAAAAATGAGAGTTTGCAATAGACATTAAATATTACAGAGACCAAGGCTAATTTTGTACACAGTATGTAGATCACGTAAGCATTACAAACATTGAACTTAATGCTCATAATGTGGATAGCACTCCTTGTTCTTGGTTGTTGTATTCTGTAATCATCCATACTTATTATATGACTTGTCATGCTGGTTTCCATAGTCAGAAACTGTTAATGAAAAACTTACTCTGTTAATATTATTATTTATAAAGTAAGATAAGTGTTCCTAATAATCCTATCCTGCAATGCAGCCACTTTATCTCTGAGATCTTTATATGTGTGGCCCGCCTGACGTCTACCTACAGCGGCTGTGCTGATTGAACTCTGCTAAATTTCAACATTTGCTTTATGATTCAAGAGTAGATGGACAAGGATGGACACATACACTGGAGCTGTGAATGTTATAAGAGTAGCTGTGCTTGTTCTAACATCTACAAATTACCTGCTATTATCTGGGACATAGTGGATGAGACCCCATCAGCAGACAATGCAGAAAGAACCCAGTGAGAGAAAAAGGTAGAGAAAAACAAGTGCTGAGATCTCTACATATGTGAGTAACAACGATTTGTGTCACATTAAACACCTTAAGACAGCCATGGAGTTCTGGGAAGGCTTAGAAGAATTGTATGGATGTAGCAGTCTAAATGAAGGACTATCAAGAAGCCATTCAGTATGAAGCTATCTGATGGAGGAGGCCTACAGAAACATCCAAATTAAAGAATACAACGTGACTCTAGTTTTATTAAAGGAACACTATAGTCACCTAAATTACTTTAGCTAAATAAAGCAGTTTTATTTTAATTTTTTAATTTTTTAATTTTTTTTTATTTTGAAAATTTTATTGGAAAGTCGCATAAATACATCAATTGCCAGTGGTATTCAAGATAACAGTACATGAAACAACAAGATATGATAAAGGTATGGCATGACAATGGCAGTATGGAATGTACAACGGTAGTTATCAGATAGTCTGACATTGCATCGTATTAATACATCACAGTTAGCTTGAATGTACATTATACACAGTTTAACATAAGGCGGAGATTGGCGTTATCTTTACAATGTCATGAGTGTACCTGACGGTTTGACTTATGGTAGTGGGTATGCATCATAGGGATATAGGCTAGGGCTATTGTTGTTGTTGTTGTTCCCCGAACTCTATTGACAACTCTATTTAAGGCTGTGTCGCTTTCTCAGCGTGAATGTCAGACGAGCAAAGTTGTATCTGGTGATCCAATAAAGGAAAACCGGATTTCCAAAGTGGGGTACGTATCTGGCTCCAGGGTACCAGGTTACCATGAGTGGGTGCTGAGATAGTCGCACCACGGTTGCCATGTGGTTGAGTATGTGGAGTATTTGTCTGTGAGGGAGAGACATGTCTCCTCTAGGCCCCTAATTGTTTCGACTTTTTGTATGCACTCTCGGATGGATGGTGGGTGTGGGTGCTTCCATAGTGCTGGTATAAGTTGGTTCGCTGCAGAAATCAGGTGTGTCAGTAGGCCTGCTGTCGATTTTGGTACGTCTCGGGGGGTAATCAGGAATAGGAAAAGTTCCGGGGTAAAGGGGATATGGATGGTTAGAATCGACTGTATCATCCCATGTATGCGCTTCCAGTAGTGCTGGATCACCGGGCAAGACCACCAGATGTGGGTGGTGTTGCCTTCGGGTGCATGACACCTCCAGCATTGGTGTGGGTGTGTTGGGAATAGGGATCGTAATTTTGTCGGGGTGTAGTGCCATCTCACTACCCTTTTGTAGTTACTCTCTTGGGTTGTGGTGTTTCTAGAGGACCTATGGATATGCGTGAATATGGCGCGCCACGTTTCCGGTGTGAAAGAGGTATTTAGTTCCTATTCCCAAGACGAGGTAAAGGCCGGTGGGTGGTGAGGCATTGTTTTAGTGATCTTTGTGTACATCTCTGAGATGATTTTCTTCTTTAGGGTATGTTCTTTGCAAAGTATTTCTAATTGTGTGTAAGAACGGACAGGATTATGCGCCAATGGCCCTGTGTGTAGGAAGTGAGAGAGTTGTTTATACTGAAATGTTTGCAGTACAGTGTGACCCTCTGTTGTAGTTTGCAATGGTTTCACCTGAGTTCCCGTGTCGTCTACAACCTCGGCGAGGCGCAGGTATTGCTTGAATGCTCTCCCATCCTCTCCCGGTTGAAAGAGAGGGTTGTGTGTTATTGGGTATAACGGGGAAGGGTAAGGTGACATTGTGTGGTGAGTCCTTATCTTGGCCCACATACGTAGGGTTGGTGAGATTGTGGGATGTGGGGAGTGCAATAAAAATGGCTGTCCGGATTTGTGCCATGGTATTGTGAAAATGGGCGTCCTAAAGAAAGTATTTTCTATGTGTATCCATTGTGCGGTAGGGTGTGGGTGTGTCCAGTCATACAGTCTGGTCAAGAGGACTGCTTGGTGAGATCTCTCTATGTCTGGGAGGCCTAGGCCCCCTTCGTCCTTTGGTCGTGTGAGGAGTGAGTAGGCCTTGGGTTCTTGTGTGCCCAAATGTAAGTCGTAAAGGTTTTCCGGACCATCGTGAACCATGACTTAGGTAGTGTAATTGGTAATACCTGCATGACATATAAGAGCCGTGGCAGAACATTCATTTTGAGAATGCTCAGCCTGCAGAACCATCCAAATTGAGGTTTGTTCCAGGTGTTGAGATCTGATTGTATGTTTTTCATCAAACTAGGGAAATTACTCTCAAATAGGTGGGATGCCTCTTTGGTTAAGTGAATACCTAGGTATTTTATCGTGTGGGTCGCCCATACAAATGGGTGTGTTTGTTGTACAATGTCTGCGTCGCGAGGGGAAATGTTTAGCGGCAGTATCTCGCATTTGCTGAGGTTGGCTTTGAAATTAGAAATCTTGCTAAATGATTCCATTTCTGCCATTAGGTGAGGTATCGACGACACTGGATCTGAGATTGTGAATAGCATGTCGTCTGCAAACGCTGCTATCTTGTGTTCCGTTGTGCCCTTTGTGATGCCTTTAATCGAGGCCTTGTCTCTAATCCCCTGAAGGAAGGGCTCCAGTACCAAGACAAATAGGAGAGGCGACAGGGGACACCCTTGTCTGGTGCCGTTCCTTATTGCCACTGGTTCCGATAATTGACCATTGACCCTAATGTGCGCCGTGGGATGTGAATATATTGCGTCGAACCATTTGAGCCAGTTTGGGCCGAACCCCATGTATTGTAAGGTGTGCGATAACATAGTCCAGTCTACCCTGTCAAACGCCTTTTCGGCATCGATTGACAGGAGCAGACTGGGGCATCCATCTCTCGTTGCTTTGTGTATGAGGTTTAGCAATTTTGTGGTGTTGTGTTTGGCTTCCCTGTCAGGGATGAATCCTGATTGGTCTCCATGTATCAGTCCTGGTAACAGCGGTCTAAGTCTGTTGGCTAGGATTTTTGTGAATAATTTTAAGTCAATATTTATCAAGGAGATCGGCCTGTAACTGCCGCATTGGGTTAAATCTTTCCCTGGTTTAGGAAGTAGCGTAATCGTTGCGTTCAAGGCCTGTGGGGGGAGAGTGTCTGTTTTGAGTAGGGAATTGAACGTGTTTTGGAAGTGGGGTATGAGCAGAGGGGCAAACGTCTTGTAGTATTTGGCCGTGAGTCCATCAGGGCCTGGACTTTTCCCTAGTGGAAGCTGTTTGATTACTTGGAGGCATTCGTCTGTTGAAATAGGTTTTTCTAAGGATTCTCGAAGATTGCGTGGTAAGGCTTTGTGAATCCTATGAGATAGGAAA